ATATATTTTGCAAAAAAGAAAAGTTAAAATTAAACGAGAAGCTCTTTAACGACAATGAGACACAACGGAAATCTCGAAACAGAGTGACCCTAAACAAGATTCTCCCACAGCCCTAGAAATTTTTTGCCCAGAAATCAGACAAAAGGGTGTTTCTGTGGACAAAAGAGCCCACAGCAATTTAAAGAAGCTGAAAACATTTCCCACAGTGTAAATTGAGGCGGCTATTTGACTACTCCATGGAGTACCGCTTTTTAGGATCCATGGACTACTCCCATCACTGGTAGCTACGAAAGCTACAGGATATTTTCATCAGTCAAAAGGCCTTTTTATTGCTCGTTTATGCTTGTAAACACTTCTATTAGATTTTGAAAAGCGTTCGTCAATGCAAAAAAGAAAAAAAATGTATTTTAGGCTTCAGAGGGCTCCAGCTCCGAATTAATATTTAAAAAAAGAAGGAAAAAGTTGGATCTGGGGGCCCTTGCCATCACATGGGGCCCCAAGCTACAGCTTATTTAGCTTATACGTAAATCCGGCCCTGACTTAATGCATCCAAAATGGTGGTAATTTTACAAACTTAATGCATCAAAAATGTAAGCATTAAGTTTACTTAATACATCCAAAATGTAAGTATTAAGTTTACATACTTAATTCACATAAATTGTAAGTATAAATTTACATACTTAATGCATAAAAAATGTGATCATTAAGTTTACAAACTTAATGCATCCAAAATGTTGGTTTTAAGTTTACCTACTCAAGGCATCCACAATTTTGTTATTTCGCATGCAAATAAATATATCGAAAGAATTAGCAGTTTTAGGTGTAATCCCACACTCTCCTGTACGTAAATTTTGAAACAACTGCTCATGCTCGTTAACTATTTTATTACTTTTTCAATGTTAACAGTGCGCACTTAAACGACACTGATGAATGCTCATTACAGGTACACATGCTCAGTTACGTAAGTACGTGAAAGTGCAGGATGATACGTAGAGCTGCAAAATCTCTTTATTCTTCAATTTTAATTTCTAAATTGTGCTTTTTAATTTTACTCCGTACCTCCTCTATAGCTTTCCTTTCATACTCTGTTACATCTTCAATTTCAATCATTGCTAAGAAATATATCCTGAAATAATAAAATGTCGACAATTAGTAACTGTGAAAATTTTCGTGACATTAAATGTAAGCTGCAATTTTTAAAAATTTCAACCCAAATTTAAGAATATCAGTACTGTACAAGATTTCAAAATCATACACTATGGAAAGGCATATACCGACACAAATAATACTAAAGTTAATATAATAAATCTAAAATATTTCCAATTATTTATTTATTTATTATTATTTGTCGCTCTTTCCGGTGTCGTCCTGTTTTTAAATTAATCAAAACACGTTTCTGTAGTTTATCCCATCTGAATAAATATAAACTGTATTTAGTATAACCTACCGTGATGATATTGCTCGCAGTTAACTAAGGATGATGAAAACGCTACCCAGACCATCGCCAATAGTCCATTGTGCAGCTCTAATGCGACATAAATAAAGTACTTACCAATACTACTATATAAATTTTTTTTGAGATTTCATAATCCTCTTGATTCATTACCGTGGTTCACATATGGAGACCTTCGCTTTCTTAGCTTTTAAAAACATTCTATAAGAAAATTTACAGTTTATCCTCACTGCAACGTTCGTGGCCGTTTCAGTATTCAAATGATTCCAAACTTAGGACTGCTCTTCTGACCAAACTATTGTGTACCATATTTCCCAGATTGCAGCTGCATCCTATATTTCGGGGGTCAGAAATCCGAATGCGTCGAAAGAAGGGTATGTTTGGTCAGAGAAAGTGAGTTTAGTGTTTAATTTCGTAACTTTAAATATCATCTGCACTAATTAATTAACATATTTGAGCACATCCCTTCGAATGATTAAGAATGAGTTCTAGAAAGGGAAGATCTGATCCTTAGATCAAAAGTTACACAGGGTTTTTCTTTTCTGGTTTTTCTTTTTTCTTTCTTTTTTGTCGCACTGTACATACATACATTAAATATCTTTAACTTTCCGTAATTTAANTATATATATATATTTAAGTTAATGTTAAATTCTTCTTAATAATTATTTATTTTGCATCATTTACATAATTAAATTAGTTTTAAAACTGAGATTTCATGCAGTAATGCATTGTTAAGCATTTATATCACATTTAGAATTGCGGCACATTTCAGGGCGGGAGTAAGAGGAAAGACGTCTTCGCGCTTGAAATTGAGACAACCCTTAATGCGCGCCAAATGTAAAGAGTGACTTTTTTTTTCAGTCACTTCGCTTTTATCATCTGCTATTATACCTTTAGTTACTCTAGCTAATTAAATATATTTTAAATTTTAAAACTGCTGTTTTCCCAGTAAAATGTCTCAAGAAGGACAAACTATTCCCTCAAAAGAGGGAAATATCATAATTTATGACATATTTAATGTTAAGAAAATGCACATAAAGAATGCGAAATAAATATTTTTGTCATACGATCGCCAAATAGCAACCTTGGACAGGATTGTTCACATCCCCCTCCCAAAAATAGCGAACTTGTATCGTCGGATACCGCATGATGAAGGCGGAGCCAAGTGCCAACTCCTGGTGAACGAACTATATCTAAAAGTTGGAAGGTACGTAATAGGTATCAAATATACTGATATAAGTACAAAGTACCGCATTGGTATATTTGGTTCTTACAAAAACTACATCAATACTGAACAATTTTTATATAGATACTGTCTTACACCTGTTCGAAAGTTGGGAAGTAATTTTTTTTCCAGAAAGGTCCTACCAGAGAAAATTACTATATGGTGATGAATTTTGACTATTATGAGTTGGCCGTGAGCAATATTACCATGCTCTGTAATATTGAATGCAGTAAATCTTTATACTGAAGGAATGAACTATAAAAAGATTTGTACTGCTTAAATTAATAACGTAAATCCTATACATTATACAAAACATTATGCAGAACATTGTGCAGAAACTGCATTATGTACCAACAATAGAAGATAACAAATCTAAAATAAATCAAATCGGGGACAAAGTGCATCAGAACAAAATGTTTCTGAAATAGAAGAAAAAAATGGCAATTTTAAAATGAATTCAAACAGCAATAGGACTACTTTATTTATTATTTTTCTTTGTTATCGAAAATATGGCAAATGTAAAGTATGCAGCAAAATTTCAAAACAGCAGCTTCGATAATAACGCTAATTAAAACAGAACAAAATGCATAAAAAATAAATGTATCCGGAAAAAAAACGTCCAAAAATCATTTACTTCCAACTGTCAACTTGAAACAGTAAATTGTTGTGCAAAAATTGTAGACTGTATTTTTATATTTACAATATAAAAAATGTAATATAAATGTTAAGTATAAGGCAACTACAGAAGATAACAGTTTTAAAAACTAGCAAAATTCAGAAAAAAACAAAATGTATCAGAACCAAATGTTTCAGAAAAAAAATATATAAAGAAATATAGCTATCCTATAGCAATGGTTTGTATGTTATGCAAAATTAGGAAAATATCTTGTTCTATTTTTCACTATATATTGGTAATGTAAAATACACAGCAACAAAGAGAACAACAACTTTTAAAACTAGAACAAAACAAAATGTGTCAAAACAAGGTGTTTTAGTGAAAAAGCAAAAATTTAGAAAAAATAACCACCCCTCAGCAAGAGTTCGTATGTAATGAAAAACTAAGAAATCGTTTCACTCTAATTTAAAATATATTAGCAATGTAAAGTACATATAAACAATGAGAAACAACTTTAAGAACTAGAACAAATCAAAACAAAAGAAAATATATCAGAACCAGATGTTTCAGAAAGAAATGAAAATAGCCACCTCACCGCAACTGTTCGTATATAATGCAAAATTAGGAAATGATTTTACTCTGATTTAAAATATATTAGAAATGTAAAGTACATCGAAACAATGAGAAACAACTTTAACAACTAAAACAAGTCAAAACAGGACAAAATGTATCAGAACCAGATGTATCATAATGAGAAAAATAAATAGCCACCTACTACTGCATATGTATTCTTTATACTGTCCACTTTTACTGCTGTTTCTCCTCTTAACATAAAACTATATGGAGATAATAGTAAATTAGCTATCTGATCTGTCTTATCGCTAGTACACGCGCTGTACCCTTACCACCAAAAACTAAGCCTCTTACACCTGATTTTACATATTTTAAGCATCTCTATTCAAAACTTTTCGTATAATCCGCTTAAGGTCCTTTTTTAGTATTATCTATTATCGCAATGTGGCATTTTAAGGAACCGACTGTCAGAGATAAAATCAGAAGAAGGAGACATGCAGGACTTGGGTGGAAAAAAAATGACTCATTTATACAAGAACTTCTTTTTTATACAATGAAATTAAAAAACTATGTGGCGGGTCAGCAAAAAGAGTTTATTAATCAAATTAATAAACTAAATAAATTAAATTATGGTTTTTAAGTGAAATTAAGTATATTAAATTTAATTATATTGACAATAATACGATTATATTGACAATATAAAGATTATATCTTTCCATTATTTATTTTATTTAAACTAATCGAGTTAGTGAGTTTGCACTTTTTGGCATTTTAATTCACTCTCGAGAATACAGGTTTTCGATGGTAACTCATTCCAAAAAAAGACTTTCAGCTAGACCTGAAAAGAATTAGCTGTCATTCGTTATGTGGCGAGTCAACAAAAAAAGCGGCGACTTAAGTTAAATAACTTAAATTATGGTTTTTGAGTGAATTTAAGTATATTTGATTTTATATATTGACACTAAGAAATAAAGATTATACTTTTCCTTCATTTCTTTTATTAAAACTAATCGAGTTTACACTTTTTTGGCATTTTAATTCATTCTCGAAAATACAGGTTTTCGATGGTAACTCATTCCAGAAAATATTTACAGCTAGACCTGAAAAAGGTATGTTTATTAAAAGAAAGCAAGTTTTTGTGTCTGATTTTGTGACTTAAAATATCGTCTGCACTAACTAATTAGCATATTTGTGGTCACCCCTTCAAACCATTGAGTCTTAATACGTGAAAATCCGATCATTAGATCAAAAGTTATTCAGAGTGATTTATTATTTTTGAGCACTGTACAGTCATAGGAAAAGGAAACAAATAAAAAGTAATAAAAATTTAAATTATCTTAAACTTTTTAATTGGTCGATATCTGTTTATAAATTGTATATATTTATGAACATTACATTAAATTAATAAATACCGTAGTTTTAATTACTACCTATGCATTGATATTACGGATACTTTATCACGTTTTAAGAACGGTTGCTCAGCTAGCAAGAATAAAGAGTAAAAAAATATTTGGTGAGAAAATTGATTTTTTAAAAAAATGGAATTCTGAATAAAAATATTTTTAATCATTCAAGAAGAAAAACATTAATATCTTAACATTTTTTTTTTATCGCTTCGTTCGTTTTTACTTACTTACTTTCATTTCATTTACTTAGATTGAAAAAAGTTTCATACTATACTCACGATGATTATACAATTCCATGGGATGGTTTGACAGTACAGCTGTTTGATGACGATTTTTTTTCCACGCTTCCTTGTAATACTCTAATAAAATAAAATATTCGATTTGGAAAGAGTAAAATATACAGTCTCATATTCGATAGGTAATATTTGAAAAAAAATTATTTATTCTAGCAATAATTTTCTTATTCTAACTACTAGTGTGATTGTCTAAAAAAAATTCTTTGATTTTCTAAGAAACTATTTATCTATGAAACTTAAAACTATGAATGACCTAAAACCATTTCTTATTGCTATCGACTCATTCTTATTTGTCTGAAAAATCATGTGATAGATTCCTTAATTAGCAAAGGAGATATGGAAATATCTGGTGGTCATTAGTTTAAAATTTATGAAAGTTGTATTAATATTTATTGATAAAGTATTTATTTATGCTTTATTTAACGGTATTTACCTGTAATATTTATTATCATCCATTCTTATTCTCAGTGTATGTTTTATTTGATTACAGGCAAACTAAAAGCAGTTTTCCGGTTTTTTATTGCGAAGTATTTCTGTACATTTGTCCTCTTAAGGAAGAGGATATTTAGTTATCATTTTAAAATTATGAAACTATAAGTAATTTATATTTTCTTTTCCTGCAATTTATATTTACTTTCCAGCAATTTATATTTACTTTAGCAATAAAACTTGCATTAATTCACCAACGCGTGTAGTTAATTAATGAATACAAAATTACTATTTAAAATTTAAAACATTACGAGGAATTAACTTACCACGCTTTAAAAAATCAATAAGTCTATTGTAAAGTTTTTCCTTCTAGAATATTCGTTGCTCCTGGCCTTTTTTTTATTTTTTTGTCCCTTCATCAAATTAAAAGTTAAAAATCAAATTTAATGGAAATACTCTACTTTTAACAGTAATTTTTTGATAATTCATAACTTCTATGTAAAAAGTATAGCACCAGTTTTAAAATGGGCACTATAAGAAGACATTTAGCTCCTAAAATTTAAATTTTGAGAAGCACATGTGAGAAATTATTTTTTTAATTATGTCCGAACAATATACGTTTTGCCCTGCATATTTGTAAAATTAATTTTTAAAGCATTTCCCATCGCGATAAATGTATCAGATAATTTTTTACATACTTAATACGTTATATATTTTTATACAGTAGGAATTTACAAATTTAATGTAAAATGGAAACAAAATTATGAAATTGGACGCAAGTGGAAAGAAATTACGTCCAAATTAAATAAATTTTGCTTTGCAAGTTTTCTAAATTGCTTTTTAAAGTGTTTCTTATAACGACAAATATCTCAGATACTTTTTTAGATACTTAATATATTATATTACATTATTTACAGTAAAAATTTTCAAATCCAATGTAGGAAGACAAAATTATAAAGATGGCCGTACGTAGAAACGTGAGTAGTCCAGACAACTCACGTTTCACGTTTCATTTCAAAAGGGCTTTTGTAAAAATAATAATTCTCATATAATTGTTTGGATATATAACACACTATTTAATTTTTTACACCGTACAAATTTACAAATTTAATGTAAATTGGAAGGCAAATTTACAAAAAGTAATTGCTTCCAAATAAAATGTGTTTTGCGCTGAAAATTTGTTAAATTAATTTTTAAAATGTTAGTTGTAGCGACAAATATCTCAGATAATTTTAACATTATTTTTTTATACATTATATTATTTTTTTACACTGCAGGAATTTGTAAATTGGAAGGCAAAATTATAAAGATGGTCGTACATAGAAAATAATTATATTCCGAACAACTTCCGTTTCACCCTGCAGATTTACAAAATTTATTTCAAAAGTGCTTTTATAAAGATAACAATTCTCAAATAATTGATAGGATTCCTAATACATTATTTAATTTTTTTCACGTTAGGAATTACCCATTAAATTTATTATTTTTAACAACTGACAATATTTAATAATTGTTCTAAAAATATAGAAGGGTTTTTTAAATAATTTTTAGAAACTAAGACTACTTTTTTATCCTATATGTTGACATTCCCTGAGTTGTCCCGAAGATAACTGGGAGTTGAGACTAATCATAGGTAAATAAACTACACACAGTACGAAGCATGATTTCAGAATTTTCTACATATCTACTAAAACTTACTAAAACTGCTTGCTAAAAATATTTCTCTAGTTGCATTGCTTAAATTTGAACTATGTACAAGATGTTGTATTCACTATAATAATTTAAATACATTATTTTGAAACAAATAGGTAGCTTTTGGTACGATGACTTGGCTCGATGACATTCCAGTAGAAGAAGTACTAGTGGTCGACGAAGTAAGGTCTAAGGGATTTTATTTGTCACTTTATTGCGTTATCCATGCCAATCACTGGTCTAGTACTGGACTACGAAGCCAGTGGTTGTGGGTTCGAATCCCACCGTAGGCATGGACCTTCTCTCTGTGTTCTATGTTCTTTCTTCTGTATGATTGTGTGAATATAATCTACAAATGGGTTGTGGCGACGCTGCTCCATCGCCGTGATGGGCTGGCTCATTCCTCTTTTTGAGCTGAAGCTACGATTTCCCTCCTCATGACGTCACGCCGTACACAGATCTCTGAGATCGCAAGCAAAGATATTATGAAAACTATGCCCCATTCTCTCTGACAAATAAGTTTGACTTTTCTTGATATTAGCATTCAAACTTCACACAATTAACACATTATTTCCGTTCAAAAACTTAGTTCAAAAAATTTTCTTGTCCATAATATAAATAAAAAATACCATTTTAAACTATTAAAAATATTTTACTAGTTATCGTAAATAACACGATAAATATTTTATTTTAAAAGTTTCAGTTTTAATTTTTATTATTAAGAAAATTAAAGCATATATCGACACATTTTAGCTACATATTGTTCGATAACAATAATTTTTAAAGTTGGGTTAAATTTAGAATCCTGATTNTTTTACTAGTTGTCGTAAATGACACGATAAATATTTTATTTTAAAAGTTTCAGTTTTAATTTTTATTATTAAGAAAATTAAAGCATATATCGACACTTTTCAGCTACATATTGTTCGATAACAATAATTTTCAAAGTTGGGTTAAATTTAGAATCCTGATTTTAAAATATGCTGTTAATGGCAATTTGTTTATGCTTAATCATTATGAAACAACAACCTTAAGCGCTAATTACTGAAACAAAATAATAATTAAGGTTCATAATATTAATATAAATTTTACAATTGCCTATAGATATTTAAATTTAAGAGAATATAAATTAAAGAAAATCAAATATTTAGAATAACTAAATTAGAAAATATGTTATGAAATCAGGAGAGTTTTAACTATTAATTATTTATACTTTTCATTCAAGTTTTTATTTTCTTTGACTTTATCCAATTTCTAATTTTTTGGCCTGTCTTTCTTTTTGAAGTAACGGGGCGGCTTTTATTTAGATGGCGAATTCTTATAAAAGTTCTTTAACGACAAAATAAACGTATTGCTGTGCCGAGAAAAACTTGTTTGTAAAGAAAATTTTACTCTCGGTATTGCAGTAGATTTTAAAATCATTCTAATCGGCAATTCAAGTGAACAATTTCTCATATCATCTTCATAACCTTCTTTCAAGAAACGCTTACTGCATATTCGTGCATAATTTATACTAACT